CTGCCGGGTGCCTTCCTTCCAGCTGCTGGCCAGGGCCTTCCTTCATTTTGTGCCGCACCCTGGTGGTCAGTGCACCTCATAGCAAGCAGTCAACCAGCAGTAATGGTCATTTAGGCTTTTATATATAGAGACAAGATTGCACAATAACCATACTTATTTTTTCAAAAGCCAGAATGGAGAGAATGGATGTCGACTATGAAAAAAAAAACAGGGTAACACCCCACTTACACCAACTTTTGAAGTTTGCAAGTGGGCTGAGCCAGCGCCTTCCAGAGTATCGCCTGGGAGGCCTCGCTGAGAACACAGCTGTCCAAATCCAGCATCTGGAAGTCCCTGCTGTTGGTGAACACGCAGCACAGGGCCCGCCAGTAGGAGAGTTTCTGGTCGTTGCTGTGGGAAGACAGACACTGTACCATACCCATGGTGACATTCAACTCAGGACAGTCTCAGAACAGGCAGGACACCGTTCCCAAAGCCCCTCCAAGCTGATGGGCACCCAGGCCTGAATACAGAGAGGTGCAGTCAGGTAAACTGAGTCAACGTGGCTCAGAGAGAGCAGACCCTGGGCCCACAGCAATGGGATCAAATCCCGTTGGAGCCACTTGTGAGTTATGTGACCTGTGCAAATGACTCAGTCTTATTCTGCCTCCATTTCCTCATCTTTGAAGGGATAGTACTTGATTTTTATGAGCAAAGGTTGGTGCTGAGTGATCCATCAGTGAATGGAGACTCACATCCAAAAACATGATCGTGCAGCCCTCGCTGGGTGGCTCCGTTGGTTGGAGCATCATCCCATACACCAAGAGGTTGTGGGTTCAATTCCCCATTAGGGCGCATACCCAGGTTTCAGGCTCGATCACTGGCCAGATCTGAGTATTTAGCCAATGAAAATGAAAACACGAACTGGAAAAGAGTATTTCCTTTTCTCCACATCTGGCCAGTGTATGGGAGGCAATCAATTAATGTTTCTCTCATATCGATGTTTCTCCCCGTCTGTGTCTCCCTTCCTCTCTCTGAGGTCAATGAACGTATCCTCAGGTGAGGATTAAAAAACAAACAAAACAAAAAAACAAACAAACCAAAAAAAAGCCATAACTGGTTTTGCTCAGTGGATAGAGCATTGGCTTGCAGACTGAAGGATCCTGGGTTTGATTCCAGTCAAGGGCTTGATCCCCAGTAGGAGGCATGCAGGAGACAGCTGATCCATGATTCTCTCTCATCATTGATGTTTCTACCTCTCTCTCTCCCTCTCCCTTCCTCTCTGAAATCAATAAAAATATATATTTTTTTTTAAAAAACGTGACCGTACAGGTATACAATAAGTAAGTCCTGGGGATGTAATTGCAGCATGACTGCAGTTAATAATAATGTAGTGTGTGCTTGCAGTTATAAGACAGTAGATCTTACATGTCATTGTCCCAAGACCAAGAAAATGCTGCAGTAGCTATGTATGGTGTCGGGTGTTCACTAGACTTGTGGTCATTTCACAACATATAAATACTGAATCATGATGCTGTGCCACTGAAACTAAGGTAACAGTACATGTCCATGTACCTCCATTAAAATTTTAAAAATTAAAAGGAATGTGAAAGGTGGGATGCATTTAAGAGCTGAGGTGTGAGCTGGTGGCCTATACCTGCTGACAGGCCACAACGTTAAAAACCAGCAGAGAGGCCCTGGCCAGGGAGCTCAGTCTGTTAGAGTGTCATCCCCACGCATAGAGGTTGTGGGTTCAATCGCTGGTCAGGGCAGACACAGAATCAACCAATGAATGCATGAATCAGTAGAACAACAAATCGATGTGTCTCTCTCCCTCCCTCCCCCTTCCTCTCTCTAAAATCAGTAAATAAATAAGAATTTTAAAAACACGTTTATCCATATCTCTACAGATGGAAAACCTTCAGAAGTCACCGCTCCTGGTCACAGCTAGCAAATTTGACTTTAAAAGCCACGTTTTGCCCCAGCCTGTGTGGCTCAGTGGGTAAAGCGTCAGCCTGGAGTTCCACTCCGGTCAAGGGCAGGTACCTCCGTCTCAGGCTCCTCCCTCTCTCCCCCGCACACACACACACCCCCTCCCCCCTCAGGGTGAGTCCAGGAGGCAACCAATCAATGTGAGTTCTCTCAGTCTTTCCCTCTCTCTTCCACTCTCTCTCTAAAATTAGTGGGAAAATGTCCTCGGGTGAGGATTTAAAAAGATAAAATAAAAATAATAATAAAAGGCTGGTATGCAAATTGTTCCCTCCGGGAGTTAGACAGGGAACTGACCACTTGCTATGACATGCTCTGACCACCAGGGGGCGGCCCAGAATGAAGCCTAGGGACCCTACCCTTATGAATTTCTTGCACTGGGCCTCTAGTAAAAAAAAAAATCATGTGTGTTGGTTGTTTTTAAGGGCAAGAGTATAAGGACCCATAAAATACCCAGCTAGCGAGCCACAGATGTCGTGGGGGCAGAACAGGGTGGGGTGGGGCGGCCGTGGGCTGCTGGACTCACTGGACTCACTTTAACAGGCCTGTGCAGTCTTCCGAGAACACGTTCTCTAAGCTCAGGTGGAGAGTCTGCAGGTTCAGGGCGTACTGGAGGCAGCAGGCGTAGGTCATCAGGTCGTCAGGCCTGCTGATGTACACGTGGATGTCCGGGAACATGCTCATCACCTGCGTGGCGAAGCCCGGGTCCTGCGTCTCGAACACGCAGCTGAACAGCTTCTGGAAGTTGAATTGCAGCTCGTCGCGGGCCACCTGCGCTCAGGCCC